CCAACCTACAGCCACCAAAATGCCTCAAGTACCTTCCAACCCTTGTGTTTCAAGACCCCATGGTTGCTTTTAATTGCTGTAGTTTGCCAACCTACAGCCACCAAAATGCATCAAGTACCTTCCAACCCTTGTGTTTCAAGACCCCATGGTTGCTTTTAAGTGCTGTAGGTTGCCGACCTACAGCCCCAAAATGCCTCAAGTACCCTCCAACCCTGGTGTTTCAAGACCCCATGGTTGCTTTTAAGTGCTGTAGGTTGCCAACCTACAGCCCCAAAATGCCTCAAGTACCCTCCAAACCCTCGTGTTTCAAGACCATGGTTGCTTTTAAGTGCTGTAGGTTGCCAACCTACAGCCCCAAAATGCCTCAAGTACCCTCCAAACCCTCGTGTTTCAAGACCATGGTTGCTTTTAAGTGCTGTAGGTTGCCAACCTACAGCCCCAAAATGCCTCAAGTACCCTCCAAACCCTCGTGTTTCAAGACCATGGTTGCTTTTAAGTGCTGTAGGTTGCCAGCCTACAGCCCCAAAATGCCTCAAGTACCCTCCAACCCTGGTGTTTCAAGACCCCATGGTTGCTTTTAAGTGCTGTAGGCTGCCAACCTACAGCCCCAAAATGCCTCAAGTACCCTCCCACCCTGGTGTTTCAAGACCACATGGTTGCTTTTAAGTGCTGTAGGTTGCCAACCTACAGCCCCAAAATGCCTCAAGTACCCTCCAAACCCTCGTGTTTCAAGACCATGGTTGCTGCTAAGTGCTGTAGGTTGCCAACCTACAGTCCCAAAATGCCTCGAGTTCCCTCCAAACCCTCGTGTTTCAAGACCATGGTATCTTTTAAGTGCTGTAGGTTGCCAACCTACAGCCCCAAAATGCCTCAAGTACCCTCCAACCCTTGTGTTTCAAGACCCCATGGTTGCTTTTAAGTGCTGTAGGTTGCCAACCTACAGCCCCAAAATGCCTCAAGTTCCCTCCAACCCTGGTGTTTCAAGACCCCATGGTTGCTTTTAAGTGCTGTAGGTTGCCAACCTACAGCCCCAAAATGCCTCAAGTTCCCTCCAACCCTGGTGTTTCAAGACCCCATGGTTGCTTTTTAAAAGTGCTGTAGGTTGCCAACCTACAGCCCCAAAATGCATCAAGTACCCTCCAACCCTGGTGTTTCAAGACCCCATGGTTGCTTTTAAGTGCTGTAGGTTGCCAACCTACAGCCCCAAAATGCCTCAAGTACCCTCCAACCGGTGTTTCAAGACCCCATGGTTGCTTTTAAGTGCTGTAGGTTGCGAACCTACAGCCCCAAAATGCCTCAAGTACCCTCCAGTAAGACCCCATGGTTGCTTTTAAGTGCTGTAGGTTGCCAACCTACAGCCCCAAAATGCCTCAAGTACCCTCCAGTCCTGGTGTTTCAAGACCCCATGGTTGCTTTTAAGTGCTGTAGGTTGCCAACCTAGAGCCCCAAAATGCCTCAAGTACCCTCCAGTCCTTGTGTTTCAAGACCCCATGGTTGCTTTTAAGTGCTGTAGGTTGCCAACCTACAGCCCCAAAATGCCTCAAGTACCCTCCAGTCCTGGTGTTTCAAGACCCCATGGTTGCTTTTAAGTGCTGTAGGTTGCCAACCTACAGCCCCAAAATGCCTCAAGTACCCTCCATACCCTCGTGTTTCAAGACCATGGTTGCTTTTAAGTGCTGTAGGTTGCCAACCTACAGCCCCAAAATGCCTCAAGTACCCTCCAAACCCTCCTCCAAACCCTGGTGTTTCAAGACCATGGTTGCTTTTAAGTGCTGTAGGTTGCCAACCTACAGCCCCAAAATGCATCAAGTTCCCTCCAACTCCAGTATTTCAATCCCCCTATGGTTGCCTTTAAGTGCTGTAGGTTGCCAACCTACAGCCCCAAAATGCCTCAATTGCCCTCCAACCCTGGTGTTTCAAGACCATGGTTGCTTTTAAGTGCTGTAGGTTGCCAACCTACAGCCCCAAAATGCCTCAAGTACCCTCCAAACCCTCGTGTTTCAAGACCATGGTTGCTTTTAAGTGCTGTAGGTTGCCAACCTACAGCCCCAAAATGCCTCAAGTACCCTCCAAACCCTCGTGTTTCAAGACCATGGTTGCTTTTAAGTGCTGTAGGTTGCCAGCCTACAGCCCCAAAATGCCTCAAGTACCCTCCAACCCTGGTGTTTCAAGACCCCATGGTTGCTTTTAAGTGCTGTAGGCTGCCAACCTACAGCCCCAAAATGCCTCAAGTACCCTCCCACCCTGGTGTTTCAAGACCACATGGTTGCTTTTAAGTGCTGTAGGTTGCCAACCTACAGCCCCAAAATGCCTCAAGTACCCTCCAAACCCTCGTGTTTCAAGACCATGGTTGCTGCTAAGTGCTGTAGGTTGCCAACCTACAGTCCCAAAATGCCTCGAGTTCCCTCCAAACCCTCGTGTTTCAAGACCATGGTATCTTTTAAGTGCTGTAGGTTGCCAACCTACAGCCCCAAAATGCCTCAAGTACCCTCCAACCCTTGTGTTTCAAGACCCCATGGTTGCTTTTAAGTGCTGTAGGTTGCCAACCTACAGCCCCAAAATGCCTCAAGTTCCCTCCAACCCTGGTGTTTCAAGACCCCCAATGGTTGGCTTTTTTTAAGTGCTGTAGGTTGGCCAACTACAGCCCCAAAAATGCCTCAAGTTCTCCACCTGGTGTTTCAAGAACCCCCTGGTGCTTTTAAACGTGCGTAGGTTGCCAACCTAAGCCCCAAAATGCATCAATACCCTCCAACCATGGTGTTTCAAGACCCCATGGTTGCTTTTTAAGTGCTGGAAGGTTTGCCAACCTACAGCCAAAATTGCCTTTCAAGTACCCTCCAACCGGTGTTTTACAAGACCCATGGTTGCTTTTAAGTGCTGTCGGTTGCGAACCTTACAGCCCCCAAAAATGCCTCAAGTACCCTCCAGTAAGACACCATGGTTGCTTTTAAGTGCTGTAGGTTGCCAACCTACAGCCCCAAAAATGCCTCAAGTTCCCTCCAAACCCTCGTGTTTCAAGACTCCATGGTTGCTTTTAAGTGCTGTAGGTTGCCAACCTACAGCCCCAAAATGCCTCAAGTTCCCTCCAAACCCTCGTGTTTCAAGACCATGGTTGCTTTTAAGTGCTGTAGGTTGCCAACCTACAGCCCCAAAATGCCTCAAGTACCCTCCAGTCCTGGTGTTTCAAGACCCCATGGTTGCTTTTAAGTGCTGTAGGTTGCCAACCTACAGCCCCAAAATGCCTCAAGTACCCTCCAGTCCTGGTGTTTCAAGACCCCATGGTTGCTTTTAAGTGCTGTAGGTTGCCAACCTACAGCCCCAAAATGCCTCAAGTACCCTCCAGTCCTGGTGTTTCAAGACCCCATGGTTGCTTTTAAGTGCTGTAGGTTGCCAACCTACAGCCCCAAAATGCATGAAGTACCCTCCAACCCTGGTGTTTCAAGACCCCATGGTTGCTTTTAAGTGCTGTAGGTTGCCAACCTACAGCCCCAAAATGCCTCAAGTACCCTCCAGTCCTGGTGTTTCAAGACCCCATGGTTGCTTTTAAGTGCTGTAGGTTGCCAACCTACAGCCCCAAAATGCCTCAAGTACCCTCCAGTCCTGGTGTTTCAAGACCCCATGGTTGCTTTTAAGTGCTGTAGGTTGCCAACCTACAGCCCCAAAATGCCTCAAGTACCCTCCAGTCCTGGTGTTTCAAGACCCCATGGTTGCTTTTAAGTGCTGTAGGTTGCCAACCTACAGCCCCAAAATGCCTCAAGTACCCTCCAGTCCTGGTGTTTCAAGACCCCATGGTTGCTTTTAAGTGCTGTAGGTTGCCAACCTACAGCCCCAAAATGCCTCAAGTACCCTCCAGTCCTGGTGTTTCAAGACCCCATGGTTGCTTTTAAGTGCTGTAGGTTGCCAACCTACAGCCCCAAAATGCCTCAAGTACCCTCCAGTCCTGGTGTTTCAAGACCCCATGGTTGCTTTTAAGTGCTGTAGGTTGCCAACCTACAGCCCCAAAATGCCTCAAGTACCCTCCAGTCCTGGTGTTTCAAGACCCCATGGTTGCTTTTAAGTGCTGTAGGTTGCCAACCTAGAGCCCCAAAATGCCTCAAGTACCCTCCAGTCCTGGTGTTTCAAGACCCCATGGTTGCTTTTAAGTGCTGTAGGTTGCCAACCTAGAGCCCCAAAATGCCTCAAGTACCCTCCAGTCCTGGTGTTTCAAGACCCCATGGTTGCTTTTAAGTGCTGTAGGTTGCCAACCTAGAGCCCCAAAATGCCTCAAGTACCCTCCAGTCCTGGTGTTTCAAGACCCCATGGTTGCTTTTAAGTGCTGTAGGTTGCCAACCTAGAGCCCCAAAATGCCTCAAGTACCCTCCAGTCCTGGTGTTTCAAGACCCCATGGTTGCTTTTAAGTGCTGTAGGTTGCCAACCTAGAGCCCCAAAATGCCTCAAGTACCCTCCACCCTGGTGTTTCAAGACCCCAGCTTTTAAGTGCTGTAGGTTGCCAACCTAGAGCCCCAAAATGCCTCAAGTACCCTCCAACCCTGGTGTTTCAAGACCCCATGGTTGCTTTTAAGTGCTGTAGGTTGCCAACCTAGAGCCCCAAAATGCGTCAAGCCTGGTGTTTCAAGACCCCATGGTTGCTTTTAAGTGCTGTAGGTTGCCAACCTAGAGCCCCAAAATGCCTCAAGTTCCTCCAACTCCAACCTACAGGTCTTATGCGGCCTGTTGGACCGAGCTTGGGGCTGCATGTGGGCAACAGGAAATTCGCTTTTTCTGTGTGGGATGGTACCACATTGTTAAAGGATAGGATCCATAGGATCCCCGACATTCTTTGTGGTATGCTTATTATGGTCTATTTTTTATTTTACTTATTCATTTATTTACTTACTTACTACTTACTTATTTATTTATTTACTGACCTATTTATTTATTTGTTCATGTGCTTTGGTGCTTCAAAACCGGAAACCAATATAGTCAGACCGCACGAGCCGAGCCATGCAGTTCTTCTCTGCCTTGCAAGGTGATCTGTGAGGTCTTTGAAGACAGGGACTTGCTCTCGACCTTGCGGCGCTGGGAACGATGTTTATAAATTTTAGCCGCCATAAACCATCCCCAGAGGGATAAAAACATGGTGCTAATACTATGTTCATGGCATTTAATGGCTTTGAGAATGGTTTTAAATGCTTAATCTATGTTCATCTTGATCATCCTGACGCCAAAAGAAACAAGCCCTAATAATTCAAGGTTTATGAATTTGGACATAGCCCTAGTAATGGTGCGTTTTTTTGACCTCAAATGGGAGGTTGCGAGGATGGTTTATTATTGGCTTTGCTGCAATAATTGAATCAACCCACATATGCAACAAACATCATATGGATCTTTCTGGATTTTGATGGGCCAGTGATATCCTCAGCTGGTTTTTGATCTCTGGGGATCTCTGGGGATTCCTGGGATTCCTGGTTTCCGGAGACTTCTCAGCCCCCAACATCGGAATCTTCTTCCAACATGACAAACCGAGAAACATGGCGTTGTGAGACAAGTCACGCAAATATATATATATATATATATGGTATTCAGCATAAAAAAACAATGGTGTAATTGATGTTTTCTATGGCCAAACGCCCACAGATACATGGCATTTACATTGCACTATCATATAATGGTATTTTTTTCATTGGCGCAAATGATGGTTTGTGTAAATGGCCCCCCCCAAGGCATCATAGTTTCCAATACAGTCATGGTCATACATTAAACTTTAGGATGGTTTGGTGTACCCATAACTTTGAAAACCTCCAAACATGACTATGGTCATTGATACGGTGGATGGGCCAGCGAAATCCTGCACCAGTTGATAGATGGTTTATCCCATTTATAGGGGTTTAACCATCCAAGGTGGTGCAGGATTTCGCAACCATTCACCGTATGCCCACACCCGAAAATCGCTGTTTATCACTGATCGGGGCAGCGGCCGAAGCTATGTCTCGTCAACTGGATGGCATTCAGCCAGACCTGTGGGGGTCAGGTGTTGTAACATTGTAGCTTTCAGTCATGGTAGCTATTTAACTCAATATAAGCTGGGTGAATTATAATGACTTATGATATAGGTCATCATATATTTCATAGGTCATCACCCAGCTTGTAAAAGTCATCATATATAAGCTATTTAAATTGTGTATGTTGAGTGTCGTCAATCACCAACCTGAGGTGTTGAGTCATTTTTGGAAACTCCCCTCTGGCTGATCCGAACCTGAAAGATGGTTTTCTTGATTGCTGGTGGTAACTTGGAAAATCAATGGTTTGCTGTAAGAAAAACATGTAAAAAACATCTTAGGAGACCATAGTTACCATAGTTTTTATCACAATCCTTCAGACAAAAATAAAGGGCTTACCATTGTCTTTATTTGCCTTTATCATCATGACAATAGGCATTCGGACTAACATGTTCCCTTCAACAAAGTCTGGGACTCAAGAGAATGATTGACACATTGAAACAAACTTACCCAGCCAGCGGTACTTCTTTTTGACATTTTTTCCCAGTACCATCTGTAACTAACATAGCTATTGAACATTGCCATAGAAATAGTGGATTTTCCCATTAAAAATGGTGATTTTCCATAGTTTTTTGCATGTTTACCAGGCCGGGTAATCTGATTCTGAATCATTGGAGATCGCCATCCCAACCAGTTGATGATGTTTTCAGCCTCAAGGCTGGCCAATAGCTGCTACTCCCTGGGACCTTCGATTTCCTCGATATCAAAAACATCCACCCCACTAGGTACCCTCTGGTAAACATACAAAAAACTATGGAAAATCACCATTTTCAATGGAAAAACTCACTATAAATGGTCATTTTCAATAGCTATGTTAAATTACCAGAGGGTACACATCAACAAATCCCACACGAAAACCAAGGTTTCAAGTTTCCAAAGACTTGGGGGTGCAATCTACAGCTCCTCAAATTCCAACCCGATCCATGCCATATCCGTCATATCCGCCATATCCCAACTTCAGCCTTCTCACTCATCCATTTGCTGAAAGGACAACTTCGTTCCTGGTTCTTGTCCAGAGACCCGCCTGCCTGGTGGGAATCTCAGATCCCTCAGATCCACAAGGCCAGCCGATTTTCCCAGCGATTTTCCCGGGTTTCCTGTGACCCTGTGACCCTGTGACCCATAGACCATAAAATAAACCTATCATCAATGGCTGGGGATGGCATTTTGAACCATAGCAACCATCATGCTGATGACTTGGGGATGGTGCCAATGGGAGTCTGCTGAAGCTCACCATGCCAGGCTGCCATGTCATGCTGAAAATCTCAATCCTGATCATGGATATTCAACACGCATCCTAACTAAGGGGAGTGATCTCCTAAAAAAAGTTCATCTCGGGCATATTAACATATATGGGTATGGATCAATACCTATTAATACCATTTTTAGGGGGATGAACATCCATAAATCCCAGCTATTTTGATGTGAACAGAAGGGGTACTATTGGTTTTGACACACTGCCATATTCACTACCAAAGATAAGGTTTATACAGGCGGATCTTAACCATCTATATCCATCTATTCTTGCAGGGCATCACCGTCCTGGTGGTGAAAAAGGCTCATATCACCTGTATTTTACCAGACATCAACTCGTCCAAAGCGTTTTTCAAAAGCCTGGTTTATGATTAGGTGCACTCCACATCATCAAACATTGTTTTTGTTTTAAAAAAATCCTACCATTCATGGTTTGCTGGAAGATCCTAGCATTTATAGATGTCCATTCTATTTTACAAATGGTTTTCCATTTTATATATGTTATAGCTCCATGTTTCTATGTGTAAAAACCTCCATTTCGATGTATTTAACGATGGCTTAAAAATCGTAAGCCGATACCTTCAGGAAGATCATCACATCTTCATTCGTCCTGGCTCGGCGACCGGGGAGCCGCTGAAAACAATGTGGGATGACATGTTTACCCTCTGGTTATTTAACATAGCCATGGTATAGATGGCCCATTTATAGATGGTTTACCCATTAAAAATGGTGATTTTCCATAGTTATGTTGCTGTTTACCAGAGGGTATTCATTTTTTGGGGGGAAACACAATAAAGAGATTCCATAGATATTTCAGAGTTTTTTCTGGCATAGAGATTGTTCAATTTATTGATACCCTCTGGTAAACTATGGTAAACAAATATGAGGCAAGCAATATACCCTCTGGTAATTTAACGTAGCTATTGAAAATGGCCATTTATAGTGGATTTATCCATTGACAATGGTGATTTTCCATAGTTATGTTAGTTTACCGGAGGGTATTCATTTTTTGGGGAAAACCACAATTAAAGAGATTCCATAGATATTTCAGAGTTTTTTTCAAAGAGATTGTTCAATTTATTGATATGATTCATGATCAACATGATCAATCCATCCAAGTTGAAGCACAAAACCACACTATTTGACCTTTGATTTGGTGAATGATATGTTCATCAAAAAATCCACGATTTCTAAACCACCATTTTCAACAGAAACGTGAGACTTCGGGAAAGTATATGCCCCTTGAATCTTGTGGCACATGGTGGCCTTGTGGGTTGCCTTATCCAACTATAATCCATCATATTCCCCCATTTCTTCTTGCTCACATCCTCAGATCATAGCGGATCCGTTCATGAGGCTTCCCAGTTCACGTGCCAGTTCAGAACCACCAATCACTCAAATAGTAACACCCACATAATCATCAACCAACAGCACCAGCCAACCATCATCTATCAGACATCCTCCTATTTTTGAATAATGGTTGAACCATGTTAAATCCCCATAATAGCAAACCCCCAAAAATGCAGAACAGCAAACTCCAATGCTATTTCATGCAAACTACAGTACCACATGCTGAAAAATGATTTCTTATTTGTCAACAGCCACAGAGTCGCAAAAGATATCATGTATATGCATGCTATCAGACTGTCAAAAGTACTGTCATGTCACGTCGACTGCAACCTCCCGGTATGTTCGTATGTCATGTAAACTACCACATCTTGAGGGATAAACCCCAGAATGTCATGCTGTGTAGAGGGCACGGTCTTAAAATGTAACACCACGTCAGGCAGACTACATCATCTTCTAAACCCCACATGGAAGTCCGGCAAGAAGGCAAGCACTGAGAAGTTCAAAGAACGATTTTGACACAACCGTTTTTTTTCTCCAGGAGTTTTGCAAGGATCAACCACCAACCAACCATCAGTTATCAATTACAATACACATGTAAATACACATGTAAATATACATGTGTATATATATATACATATATGTATAGAAAAATATACAATAATATACATGTATATATATAAATTATATATATATATGTCAACATAAACTATAAACAACAACCAGGGTCAACTGATCACCATTTTTATGAAGGCGAGGAGCAGGTCCCCATTCACCACTGAGATTTTGAGGGCCACCATCAGCCTCGGTTCCAATTTCAGGGAAAACGCATGAAAAAACTGCATGAAACCCTGAACAGTTTCCTATCTAATTTGAAATTTCAGAGGGATTGAAACCACTTTTTTTCCAAAGATCGAGGGGTAACATCTGTATATTTTCGCACCAAGTCTGGGGAATGGCTAAAGTTATCAACAAGATGGATAGGAACATATAGGAACCAATAAATTAGAACATCTACAAAAATGATGAATTGAAATGTTTCTTTTTGAGACATTTTGGATTTGAGGAAGTAAGAAACAGAATGAAACAGGTGCGGTGTTTTATTTCTGAACTGGGGATATAACGAACACCCCACACACACACACATGCACGCCAAACAAATATGGGGCAAGCAATATAGAAACCTGAATGAAACACCAAAATGTGGCAGTGAAATAATTACTGACAAATCGTGGGGCTACAAGGAGCAATGACCTAGAGTGCCACCCAAACCGTTGGAAGCTACAGTGCCAAAACGTCACCAAGAAATGATACCACCTGGCAATTTAACGTATGGTATAGATGGCCCGATTCGTTCAATGATTGACCTCTTATTTCGGGATTTTCCGGTGCTAAATGATGTGAAATATCAATTCTCCCTAGTTTAAGCCAAGATTTTGATGGAAAAAACTCATCTTTGATGTTGAAAAATCAGTAAAATCATCAACTCGTGACCTTCGCCGTGAAAAAACTGCCATCTTCCCCAGCATCTAAGGCCCAAAGGCTTGAACATCATCTTGTCCCTCTCGAACAAACCACGATTCATGTAGCGATAGACCTACGGGGCTGTCTGAAAATAGATTTTTTTTTTACACCCAAAAGGCACTTTTCATGGGGAAATTGATGATTAACTACCCCCTGGTAAATTAACATAGACCCTGCCAAATAGGATTTGGAAGATTAGTTTCCATTAAACATTGCTGATTTTCAGGGTTTATTTACGATTACCATCTGGTTATTTAACATAGCCATGGAAAATCACCATTTTTAATAGGTAAACCCAGGTAAACCATCTATAAATGGGCCATTTTCCATGGCTATGTTAAATAACCAGAGGGTAACTAATTTGTGAACGATAATTTCAAAGGAGGCGTCGCGAGCTCACTGGGATGAGTCTTATTCGTTACGTGTGGACAATCAACCTGTTGTCTGATTTAGAGGTGCCCTATTTTCAGACGAACGCGGAGGTAAACAGTAAGGTTTCCTGTAGATTTTCCCTGAAACCAATCCATGGAGAATTGTATGATTATATATATATATGGGTGTGAACCTGAATTTGGGATATACCCCAAAATACTTGTTTTAAGAGGTAAAATAACGATAAACCAATGGATTTAGAGGTACCATCTTTTCAAACAAACCCTTTTATGTCTTGCGGTGATGGGTCAGATTGGTGCCCGAAAAACCTCTGAAAGATATGAGAATTAATGGGAATCAAATCAGACTTGCATTACTATCAGCAGGGTCCGATTCTTTTGCTGCAGCAAAAGGGTCACTGAAAAAACTCAATTGACGTTCGTAAAGCATCCCAAAAAAATGATTTCTGAGTATCCTTTCACATCCAACCACTCTGAACCTCTTTTCGGATAAACATCTTCCAACTTGTTGGGTTCTAAAGTTTGGGCAGCTGGCATGTCATGTAATCTCCAAGTGGCTTTCTCTCCATATCTGAAAAAATATGGTTAAACAGATCATTTCCGCCAATATTAGATGACCATATAGTAAATTGGGAGGAGTACCCCCCATGGCTAGAGAGCTAAACAAAAATGGGGGAATATCATGAGTTATGGCGCAACTTTTATGGTGAGAACGAAGCACTGGGTTGGATGGCTTGCAAAGCTAGGACATTGGTTTTAGGGGGGCAAAATCCACTGATTCATCATCTTCACTGTTAGTAACATCGCCTTTTTTGTAAGAATCCCTCATTTTCAATCCATCCACATCATAATATGCCATATGTTGGTGATATATCCCAAACATCCATGGATTTATCCGCCTGGTAGGTCAAAAAGTCGATGATCTTGTCGACCCTCTTGGACCTGGGGAGTTTTGGATGGAGCCTCGTTGCTGAATGGGGCGCCAGAACCCCAAGAGTTTCACGATGTTTTCCCTGTGATTTTTTTAGGGGAAATCGGTAGGAAACCATGGGTGTTATCCATTTAGATCCCTGTATTTCCTGCCGATGATGCCAGCTAACTATACAATCCATGCGCAGGAAACTTCAGGAAACTACGATATTTCCCCAAACAGTGTGGAAATATCGTAGTTTCCTGGGGATAAGCATGCGGCACTTTTCCTTTAAATTTCCACACAAAATTGCTCTTGTGACATGTCCATATGCATTTCGACTGCGCACGCTCGCACAAAATGTGCTTCCCGGTCTTGGGATCGGTCTTCCTCCTCAACTTCATCCTCTTCATCCTTTTCATCCTCTTCATCCTCTTCCTCCTCCTCAACATCATCATCATCATCATCATCATCATCATCATCATCATGATCATCATCATGATCATCATCATCACCATTATGATCATCATCATCATCATCATCACCATCACCATCACCATCACCATCATCATCACCATCATCATCACCATCCCCATCATCATCACCACCATCACCATCAACATCACAACCGTCATCGTCATCGTCGTCATGATAATCATGATAATCATGATAATCATGATCATGATCATGATCATCATAACCATCATGACCACCATGATCATCATGATCATCATGATCATCATGATCATCATGGTCATCATGATCATCATGATGATCATGATCATCATCATCACCATCATGATGTTGATGATGATGATCATCATCATCTTTTTCTTCATCATCATCATCATGATCATCATCTTCATCATCACTATCGTCACCATCATCACCATCATCATCAACATCACCATCACCATCAACACCATCATCAACATTAACATCATCAACAACATTATAATACATGATGTTTTTACTCCACCCACACTGTTTGGGGTCTCTTGCCGGGATAATTTGTTTCTTTTTCGGATTTGCTTAAGGGTCCCCAAATGGTGGATTAACCAATGGGAAAATCCACAAAATCACCAGCAAATCCAGGCTGGTTGGTGGTTGACCTACCCCTCTGAAAAATATGAGTTCGTCAGTTGGGATGATGACATTCCCAACATATGGAAAAATCAAAAATGTTCCAAACCACCAACCAGCAGGTTTATCAATGATGGATGCGTCCCCTCCAATTCTTCCAATTCATCGTTGGAACGACGAAAAAAAAGACTTTCCGAAGCGGCTTTCCTACGTCTCCTCAGGCCCCACACGTGGGTTGAACCTTATCTGAATGCTTCACAGAGTAGTCAAACCTGGCAGAATTTGGACGACATCTCTGGACCATCCCAGAAGTGGAAATCACACATTGTTGGCACAGATTGGGGCTAAACACTCTAATGTCGATGACCAAATAAAAAGGGCAATATGAGATTATATATCATATTCTACGGCAAATGAGCGCTTGGCCTACGATTTCGATTTTCTTCGGTGAAATCGGCTTTTTTAAACAAGCATTGCGCTACAAAATGCCAAACTCAACAACTAGCTGAACTAGCTTCCCAACTCTCAGTAGCTTTGTCTCAGAATCGAAGTTTCTGAAAACTTCAGATCTCCCCCAAAGCAAGTCTCTCTCATCAGGTCACTGCACCATTTGAGATTCATTTGATCCCACCGATCCAAATGGGTTACCCTCTGGTAAACATACAAAAAGCTAGTTATGTTAGTTTAGTTTATAGTAGATTTACCCATGAAGTATCACCAGGTAGGCCATCACCAGTGACAGAGAGCCGGACTGCTCCAGGAATTGGGTCAGGGAACAGCTGTACATCCACCCACTGGGCCTGACCAAAATCACTGGAATCCATGGGAACCATGGGAAGAACCATGGAAGAACCGTGGTTTTGTAGAGCCTTTCCCTTGAATTCCCAGCTGAGTGGGGTACCTGGTATGATTCTTCTGTTCCTTCGAATTAAGACATGGTTGAAACCAGATTTGGGGCCGAAGTTCCCAGTTACAAGGGGGATAGCTTGTCATAGTTAAAGGAGTTTTATCACACACACGTGTATATATATATACCCTCTGGTAGTTAAACATAGCAATGGAAAATGGCCCACTTATAATTGATTTACCTATTAGAAGTTGTGATTTTCCATAGCCATGTTAGTTTACCAGAGGGTATCCAAATTAATAGGGGCTAAAAATAACATACCCCAACTGCTACAGGACCACATGCTGAAAGGATTCAGTTTTAGAGAGTAAAAACTACTAATCAGCCCCAATGGTGAAGAAACAGAATGGATGTATGGGTGAAAAAAAATCCAGGCTCTTGGACACCATGAAAAACAATATTTCTTCAACACCATTGATCTTGGGGACATTCACACATCCCAGTGATCCATGTAGAATTTCATATTTCAACAATTTTTGGCCCACCTGTTTCAGCTTAGCGTGCTTAACAATTCAACTTCAAACCTAAATCTGAATCCTTTAACTGGACTGGTTTAAGGACACATTGGACACCCTTGCTGATCAAGCAAGGTTTTCCGGCACAAAAATCCTTTATCTCAATTCTGCGAATCTTAAGTTTCTGCGGCCAACTCTGCAAAAAATCATGAACCCACCATGCGCCATTTGGCATAATCACACAATAGGGGCAACCTCAATTTTATAAACAAACTTTTCCGTGATGGTTTCACTCTAATTCTCCCATGATCATATACAACTATCCCATCATTTCCCCCTAGTGGTTCTCAACATAGGAGAATTCGAATGGAACCCCCATAAAGAATTCTTCCATGACCGACGAAAAGGCACAAAAAATTCCATTCATAGCTGTGGCCACTCCCATCTGCCACTGAGCTGGAGGCTGCAGTGTAATCGGATTGGTGACCAGCACCATGTCTGTCCTGTGCCCAGGAACTCTCCACATAGTGGATCGTTTCCACATCGAGAGCTTAAAGGAAGGTAACTTTGACAAGTTTTGTTATCGCCATACACCCTAGTAAATCTAGTCATTGGTCGGTTTTATTGGTTGATATACACCCTGAGTTATCATAAACTATATGTATATATTTAATATAATGTAAAACAATATGCTATAATATAATATTATAAAACGATAATAGAATATACGATGCTATAATATGATTAAACACATAATATAAACATAATATAACACAACATAACATAAAAAAATGTATAATAATGTAATACACACACATATATATATACACACAACAATAATGTGTATATATATATATACATACAACATTACAGCTACCATACACAATCTTTCCGTTCATCTTGTTGAACCAACTTCTGTTGGGGTCACCTTGTGTGTGATGTGAAGCTCCAAAAGCCATAGATGGCCCATTTTGATCCTTTTCCTTCAATGATTCACCCTGAAAATTGTGGGTTTTCTATGTCACTATGTCAAATTACCAGAGAGTACCCTCTGGTAAACATACAAAAAACTATTGAACATGGCTATTTATAGTTGATTTACCCATTAAAAATAGAGATGTTCCATAGTTATGTTAGTTTACCAGAGGGTATGTCAAATTAGTAGAGGGTATTCGATAATTTTCAGCAACCCCCAGGGGATTTCTGACAAAAACAATCTTTTGCTGATCTGCTGGACCATCCGTTAGCAGCAAAACCAACGCATTAAAACCATGGATTGAACGAGGTAAGATCGGGAAACCAGGGTGTCTTGCGATAAACATAAGGAGGTTCTTTGAAATTTCACCTTCAACCACTTCAACCATGGTGTCTCAATAGCTGAGATGCCGACATATTGAAATACCTCGGCAACGATCTCGAATCGTCGAAAGTTCAGGGAAAAGCCCTCCCATCGCCCGAGGTCGCCTCCTATACTCGATTCTATAGCAACCCCCAAAAAGATATTCAACAAAAATGGGTAGCATACTTCCAAAATGGTGGTATCAAGTTTCAACTCCCAAAATACGCATCATGTTTTTTGGGGGGTACTAAAAACTCCCAAACACATCATGTTTCCAGAATGTGCTGGTAGTTTGATGATGTTTTCCCCATATCGAGGGTTGGGGCCCGGCTTGCCCAGCTAAGTATCCCTTAGGAAACCACGAAGTTCTCCAGCGTTTCTTTGTTCGCAGTTTTTGCTGTTTTTCTCGGCCCAAACAAAAAAAAAAAAACATTCCTGGGGGGGCCCTTGAAATCATAATGACCAAAGAATCAACGTAATTAATACCCAACTACAATTCCATTCTCATCGATTTCCTGCTAGTACTAGTCATTGGGGAAAACTACAGGAAGCCAACATTTTGTAAAACTGGCAGGTTTTCCTGCACTGTTATCATGCTTCTAATCTTAGGAAAACTGGAAATTATCCATTCCCAATCATTGATACCATGCAAAAAAACTGCTGGTTATCCATTCGGTTGCCTCCGAAATATCACCAATCACAATTTTTCATAATATGAATGCCTTTTGATTACCATCACTACTCATATATCAACTCAAATGCAGTTCTACTAGTTAAATGGTCATGTAATATCATATAATCACATATAGATCTGGCTGAATGATGGTGATTCACCAAGCCCGAAAATAGTTCTTATCATACAGCCATTTAGATCATTGAGGGATGATTCCCCCACACTACCATCATTCCAGTGACGTTGAGGTCACATACCCTCTGGTTATTTAACAGTTTGCCATGGTATTGATGGCCCATAGAAATAGATGGTTTACCAAACTTTAAAATGGGTGGATCTTTCCATGTTAAATAACCAGATGGTACTTCATCCAAAGAAATGGTATTCTCAATGGGAATCTCAGGATCCTAAATTGGAGGTACGTTACTACCATATTTCAGGCCATATTTTTTGGGGATATCCCCTGAAATTTGGGCCTTATATATATATATGCAATCGGTACCTCCGTCCTCAATCGGTTCCTGGCCAGCATGGCCATTGGTGAAACCACCAATTCCTGGGAAAACCGAGGAAAATCCAGAGCCAAACTCCGCCCTCGGCATTGCAAGGCGCATCAAACTCCCTCGGGTGGCCACTGACCGGAACCTGGCGAATTGGACGTCGAAAAAATGTGTTTCGCGTTTCAAAGGTATAAACAGGGACTTTCATAAGAGGCTCATATGTATAATGTGAGGCCCCCCAGTGATATTTGTTGGTTTATAAGCCCCAGTAACTATAGTTATAAGTACCATAAACCATAGTTATTGGAGTTATAAAACAACTTAGCTATCGAACGGGGGCCTCACATTGTATACCCTCTGGTTATGACTAACATAGCGAACTGGAAAATCCCAACCATAAATGGAGGTTTCTAGCTGGGAAAATCATCTATTTCGATTAGGGCTATCTATACCATGGCAAACTGTTAGTCATAACCAGAGGGTAACTCACATGTATGTCAAATGTCAAGGATCATTGGATCAATAAACAAGAGCCATATCAGTTTGATTAGGGGTTTTCAAGCCTGCACTTTGTTAAAGATCGACCTCAACAAATGGACCATCCGTCTGGGCAAATGAGAACGGGAATGACATCAACCAACAGTCACTGCAATCAACATCAAACATCAATTGGAATGGGACTGCGCGCAATTTTCTTTTGTACAATTAAATCTTTAGTGAGTCTTGAGTCTTGACGGCCCTAAATATGAGCTGGGCAGCCAGGCTGTTTTTGAATAGCTAGAACGATCATTGTTGGCAACTCTCTCATTGTGTCTCAGAGAATTTTCTCATTCTCTACATCCTGTCCCAGAAACTCTCCAGGAGAATATGAAATTGATTCTTCATCGGATTTTGTAGAATTTCCGGATGACACTGGATATCTCCGAGCTATGACAGCCATAGCTAACTACTCCCGATTTTTTTGGAAGAACCATTTTAAAAGTTTTTACAACACAGTGTTTCATGGTAAAAACCATGTAAAAACTATAGTAACTATAGTTTTGCTCTAGCATTCACTGGAAAAAAACAACATAAGCAACCAATGAACTCCCCGCGGCTTGACCAACTAAGACTCCAACTGCTCTCTCTTTTCATCGATTTCCAAAGTCCTGGAAAGCGTTGGCAAAATCACCCGCGGGGCGGAGTTCCGTTGTGTTCTGCACCTGAACGAACCAAAGAAATGCAAAAACTAGGCCTTAAATTACCATAGTTATGGAGAAATATGGAGAACCCATCATTTAGACATTTTTTCCTTGGGACATGTATGGTAGTTTTGCTTTTTATCGCTATGTAAACTATGTAAACTTAACTCAGGGCATCTGTCTTGACGGAGGTTCCAGCTGAGAGGTCAGGATGAGGCAACTTCAACAGAGATTTCCACGATTTTGAGATTCTTCCCTTACCAAGATGGGGATGTACCGGAGATACACTTCAAAAGTTGGCCCCAACCCGGCCTTTGTCGAGCCTCATCCAACTTGCCTTCCACCTTTTCAAGAGCCGTGGGACATGTTGTGTGACACGTGAAGCAGCTCATGTCATCAACTAATGATCTCTGAATGAATCATCTACCAACTGCTCGAGTTTTTGAGTCAAATATGGTCTCAAAGCAATTTGGACCCCAAGCCCACAAAACAAGAAATGAGAATCATCATCAATAAAACACACATAGGGCGGGTTAAGCATACTGCTTGTTAAAGGTCGATGTTGTTAAATGGTCCTCATACCACCCGAAGATAATGAAGGGAACATCACCTTCAACCTCTGATCAACAGAATGATGGAAAATAGGCACACCATCCCATGAGTGTTTTCAGCCCATAGATAGGGTTTTTAACCATGAAACATAGGGGAAATATGATGTTTATAATAAGGGTGTTAACCATGTGACTATTCAAATATTATGTTTTCAGCCCTTTTGAAGAATTTGAAAGTCATCTGACGATCGTCATCAGAGCGCAACCTGTTTTACCAGAGGGCCCCACTATTTTTTACATAGACATAATGCTGCGATAAATATGTGTTCTATCTTTATTGGGTATGATATGTACAACCCCTAAAAACGGGCTATCACAATCAACCTCTTCTTGATGGTTAAGAAAACCTCTACAAAGATCACCTATTTTAACACCCTTTTAAACATCATATTCATATTTCCCCTATGTTTCATGGTTAAAAGCCCAAAGCCCTATGGGGGGATAGCATAGTTTTAATCCCCCCCAAGCATGGGTCAAACTCCACCAGTGGCCTCCTTCGCCTTCGCCTTGGTGTTGGCGAGCACCTCAATCAATTCCTGGTCGTCCTGCATGCGACAATGTCGATATAAATTTGGGGAACAAATCCTGGAGAAATCTTGGAAAATCTTGGGAACATGACAATTTTGGGAATTCTATGGCAAAACATCTTGAAGGATGTGGGAACATGTGGGGCAATGTTGGGAACATAGGTAAAAATAGTGGGACAATCATGGGAAAAATGGGAACCTGGCAACGTAACGCGCTAAACTAAAATAAATTGAGGATTTTCTTTCAATCATCAGACCAACTCCAGTGCCCAGCCAAAAAAAATAGGAAAACACACATAACCGCATGATTGTTGACAGTATAGGCGGACTGTGGACCATGGTCCATGGTCGTCCAGGGTTTGTGGCGCACGTTTTCCGGTCCAGAAGGTTTCCCTTGGAACTCGACAAGCGTTCCTGGCGGTCGTACGATGCCAACATGAATCCACAACCGAAACAAACATCAATCCAAATCAAAACAGGGGTTGGCGAGCGAAAACTTGAACCTTTGGTAAAATCATGCAACCAAACTGTGAAAGTTCAAGGGCTTTAAATTTGGACCTCGTGACATGGCTTCCATTGGAAATAACAGCAAAGTCAATGTTACCAGGGCCCTATTTTGGTGTCAATGCAGGTGATGAAAAAAACTTAGGCCCCAACCAACAGCAGCTGTCCCAACCTCAGCATGTTTCGAGCATCGTCGTTAGGCTGCACTCACACATACAATGAGACCATGTGGTAAACCTAACAATAAACGGACATCATCATCAAATCTAAATGGCTTTGCCGGAAAATCCTTCCAGATTTCTAAGGCACCAGCGCTTGCAAGGCTTTGGTGTTGTTGGTGGCGTCTTCCTTCCGATGGCGTTTCTCTGACATAAACGGGATATTAAAAAACGGGAAGAGAATGACATGGAAACATAAGGGGATGATTCAGGGGATCTCGCGAATATTATATTGTCGCATATGCTGGGAGATATCTGTATTTTTAGTTTGGAACATTTGGGGCTTTGGAGGACTTGATATTCAGATTTCATCAGAGGCTAGCGGCTAACAATCTGATCGGTTTGCCCGAAAACGGGGCATTGTTATCCAATTCATTTATTGAATGATCCTGTTGAGGAGGAACATCATGATAATCTGTGTCTTCATGGTTGCTACATGAGAACGTTTGGAATTCTGGAAAGACAATTTGGGTGTCTTGTCAACTTAGTGATCTCCATGTAATCTCCATCAAGATCCCCAACAAAACGTGATCCAGTCCGCGGTTCATGATTTCGAATGCGGTAAACCACCGTTGGACGGTCTTTTTGCTAGCAATTTCTGGTAAAATCACAATGAGTATGGCAGTTCTGGCTTGTTTTTTTGGGCTTTATCAAAGTAGTTCCTGAATTTTCATATGATCAAATTTTCTGATCAGTTAGCAGTTCCTTTTTATTTGATCATAGGACTCCTGGCTGCGATGATTTTATCGCAGCTTTGCTGGCTCAATCCCAGACCTTGATGCTTTGAAAACTGAAAAAATCATCAAATCGCGGCCTTTAATGATTCGATATGGTTAAATCAATGTTAAATCAATGTTAAATACCCCCCCCAAAAAAAAAACTATCCGGAAATTTAACAGTTTGCTATTGAAAATTGCCATGAGCATAGTTGAATTACCTATGAAACATGGTGATTTTCCATAGCTATGTGAGTTTTACCAAAGGGTAATTCCCAGATTTTGATGGTTAACACATGTTAACACCAAGCATCAGCCAGACCTTAAGGGCCACCAACATCTCTTCCAGGGCTTTCTGCTCCATATTCAACACCCGTCCAAGCCTGAACCCATGGATAAACCATGGGTAAATTACCGGGTTTACAGCTGGTTGGTGGTTGACCTACCCCTCTGAAAAATCATGGAGTGAAAGTCAGTTGGGATGATGATTCCCAAGATGTTCCATATAAACCATATTATATAAACCATAAAGACCACATAAGAACCATATATTTGGGATAATGACATTCCCAACTGAATGGAAAAATAATCCAAATGTTCCAAAGCACCAACCAGATGTGGCGAGTTGATCCCGTATACTTGGCGCCGTGAAACACCCCCATCACTGAGGTTGATACAATTGCTGCTCCAAGCCTGCTTCGATGGTCGGAAGCTATGGGATCGAAGCCGGAGTTACTGAGTTACCCTAAGATGTAGAAAAACCACCAGGTCGATCATTGTCCGGAACGGGAAACCATGGATTTTCCAGGGTTTTCCGCATCCTGTGTGTTTAACTTAGGAAAGATTATACAATGGATCAAGGATACATGTTTTTTTCCTTCACTTGGATTTTCATGAATATCACCGTGCGCTGACATGCGCTGACTAAATGCTTCTCACCAATTAGTGCCAACGACGCCCGAAGCAGAACTGCAATAGTCGGCGATGTTCATCACGTGAATCATCGCAAATCACAAATATAATTACTACTCAACCCACACAGAAATAGGTCATTCTAAGAGATTCTTTGGAGTAAACACCCATCCCCAATCTTTGCGGTTGCTATCATCATTTTGAGCTCATCATGTGGCAGGAATTCCCCAGACGGGCGCTCCTCGCAAGGTTACGGTGAAGTCGATGACCTAAACATCTGCACGGAATTCTCACAGAGAATGATTATTTTTGGTAACTTGGGGAAGATCAGGAAAAACGGTTTGCTTGGGGCTTCATGTTGGATTTTGAGAGAGGTGGGTGGGTGATATGTGGAATTCGGATATGATGGAAAGCAACCTGCAAAGCAAAAATGTGCAAGAAGGAAAACGGATTCCCAGACACGAAAATCCCCCGAGCCTCATGTCTTTGAAGTTTTCATTTTTCATAAATTACAAATTCTCTGGGTAGCTAGTGGGCCTGGAGGGTTGTGTTGGGAATGGAAAACTGCTTTACTCTGGCGATTCTTAGCTTCGATGGGCAGTGAGGCAGATGCCATTTTTCAGGTTTTTGACATGGCACCTAAAGCTCTCACCATTCCTGGTTTGCATCGCAAGTACAACCAGAGTATCAACAGCACAGTCGTCATTTTTTCACCCCAAAAAATGGTCAGTGTCCACGGGCATCTCACATGCCCTGCACTTTGAAATGAAGCGACAACTCCTTGTGGTGAGCCCCAAGGAAAGTCGTGTCGGATGGCCACATCAATCAATGGGAGATCTTCAGGAACCGATTGATTCGAGGTACCTACCATATATGTTTGGCCTTTTTGAAAGGCCTAAATTTCAGGGAATGTCCCCACATTTTTTTTGGCCTGAAATACGGTACGGTACTAATGTAGCTCCATCAATTGGATCCTGAAAATCCCATTGATCAATGGATATCTTAATGTTATCCTCTGGTAAACTAACATAACTATGGAAAAAAGTATGGAAAATCACAATTTTCCATGGCTAAATCCACTTTTTTCAGAACCTGAGATGGAAATCTCAACATCACATCACCTGCATCCCATCCAACGGGAGATTAATCTCATCTATCATAGAAACCTGTTATTATTCTGGGGTACCATCTGGCTATGACTAACAGTTTGCCATGGAAAATCACCATGCAATTAATTTCGGTAAACCATCTATTTCGATTAGGGCCATCTATACCATGGCTATGTTAGTCATAACCAGAGGGCAAATCTTCAAACTCCTCTTTTTTCGTCAACCAATGGAAATTTGGGACATCTATGCCATCTTGATCAGATCAAAATGATCAAATTACATGGCTAAAAAAACATCCAAGAAACTGAATCTTTAGCTAAGCCTAGTTTCATTTCCAAAACCAAAATAAACCTGAGCACGAAAGTTGAGCATCTATCCAGTTGGTTGACCCAGCTTACCAGCCATCTGAATAAATTGACAATAATTTACCAACTTGAACATGTTATTTTCTAGGATGTATATCATATATATAGGGTTATTTTGGGATAGTGAGCACTACAAACAGATATCATTCCAGGGGTCGTTTTCTCCACGAGGCCCTGATTGAAGACTTGGCTTTCCTGCGGTGGTCTTAGCTGAAAGCTCCGGGCTAAAGTGTGGATTGGGAAGCCTCGGCAACTGGCAACCAGCGAAAAAGATGACCAAAATGCCGCGACTTTCGACCAATCTTGGGTTACCCTCCGGTAAACGTTTACGTAACGAACTGGAAAGATCCACCATTTTTGATGGGTAAATCCACTATTTCGACTGGGTCATTGTCAATAGCTATGTTAAATTACCAGAGGGTAAACCACCAAGAAATGCAATACCCGAGGATTTTTTCTATGCAGATTGTACTGCCATCAATCTGACATGGAAATGATCAAAACCTATGGATATTTCAACGTTCTTAGGCCTCACCTGTTTCAGCGGATTCTGTTTTTTTTTCGTACACGGTTGAAACTGGAAAGCAAACATATATAGGTAACAGTCATTGATATATAGTTTCGAGTCATTTACAATCATGTATATATATATATACCCCTCAATGATATATCTAATGATTCTCCTTATGTACAATCATTGATCATGTGAGCCGGGTACCGGCACCCAGAAATTCCGGGTACCTTCGGTCCTTCCCGTCCCCTCCGCACCTGGAAGTCATGTAGAGGCAAAAGCGCTCGTCATACTCGACGTTGGTGTCCTGAGTCAAATTGTCATGTTCCCAAGTCGCGACATAAAAATGTGGAGGGCAACAGTTCAATCATCAAGATGAAAACAAGAAACTGAGCTCTGCACTAGGGATTTGGCGGAGGGAAACATAAAGAGTAACACCAATCGATTCCCCAAATGATGAATCAACCAACACATACAACACATAAACTTAGTCAATTCAGTCCGGTTATATTTACATATGATTATATATATATACACACATACTTTAACATCCCCACCCTCGTATATCAGTATGTCCAGTAAATTGGATGTACTATCTGGCTGAATTTAACATAATTCACCAGCCTGAAAAAAGTTGCTATCATACGGCTATGGGGATAATTCCCCAATACAATCATCATCATTCTAGTGACGTCACGATGTGGGGCCATTTGTATTCACCAGGCGTACATATTCAAGATCATACATGTTGGTTTTATATTACTATTCATTTTACTATTACTATTGATATACATATATTTACATATTAACATACACACACACATATATATATATATTCCATTCTTTTAATCCTCAATATCTCCCCGTTCTAGATGCTTAAACACCTCCCAAAAACAGCACATTTTTTTTCCGAGCGGCGCCAATTCGAATGACCATCTTTTTGGTGGTTGCCTCGATCGGATGTGGAAAAAACCCAGATTTTATGGCATGTTTTTGGGGAAAATGATGAAAACACATGAAAACACCAGAGTTATGTTTTTGAAAAACGGTGATTTATGATGATTTAGGGATCTTAGATGATTGTAGTCATGTCCTATTTTTCGAAAATCCTTGTAAAATTTGACATGACCTAAGGTTGTTGCACTTGTTTTCCGATTGTCGCCATAAATTCAGGCATCTCCAACATGTCATACGCTCTTTGCTATATGGGGAACGCAAAACCATATGGTACGCCTGATACGTCCTGGTATGTCCTGATGATGACTATGACCCTCATGATGACTTGATATTGATGATTTTTGATGCTGAAGGTGAAGAACATGAATGCAACATCTCACGGTACCAAACTCAACATCAGTTTTCATAGCTGTCAACTGGATTGTTGAGGCAAATGCTAAGTGTGTGCAACATAAAAAGTTGTGGGGGGAATCTTCTAACAGTTCTAACATGTGGACATCGCCAAGCACCTGTGGCCAAAAAATGTAGCGAACCCTGATAAATTCTTGGTAGAACCAGAGCCATTACCTCAGAACCAGAGCCATTACCTCCGAAATATTGGCCCTTGGGATCTTTTGAAACCATCAAACTTAGAATCTTTAGCCGTAAATCAACATCTTTAGTAAAACCACCAGCCACAAAAAGGTTTAGTCTTGGTTTATAGCAACACCCAGAAAAGAAAGTAGAACACAATCCAACTCTTAAAAATCGATTGAACTTGAATCGGATAAGGCCCTCCATTTTTTATGGTTTTCCATTCCATTGAAAGTCGCAAGTTTCAAAGGGCTTTGATGCAGGGACAATTACCCTCTGGTAAACTAACATAAGTATGGAAAATCAACATTTTCAATGGGTAAATCCACTATAAATGGTCATTTTCAATAGCAAACTGTTAAATTACCAGAGGATACTCAGGAAGGATACTTGGAGGTTTCCAATAGGGAACCCCCAAATCATCAGTTTTTGTTTAGGATTTTCCATTCACCATCCCTTTGGGGCATCCATTTATGGAAAACCCACATGTAAAGAATTGTGGCTATAATTTACCTATGGACTAATGGCTTTGAGCCCTGTTTCACCGGTCAAATCCCATGGGTTCATGGCTTAAATCCATTCGAATCTTTATCAATTTCTAATGCTTTTCCATCCCATTGAAATCCCCAATAAATCACTGCTTCACGGCGTACATCCATCCATAAAATGGATGTTTATCACGTTGTTTTACATCACTTTTTCATTGTTTTGCAATGTGTTCCATCTGGCTGAATTTCATCACAATTCACCAGCCCGAAAAGTAGCTCTCGTACAGCCATGAAGCGGGATGATTCCCCACAATGTCCGGTAAAAAAAGAGGGGCCGCTTTGATTTTCCATCAGCAGTGGGGTTAACTTTCAAGCCATGGGTAGGTGATCGGTCACAGAGCCCAGGGGCCCAGCCTTCATGACAATGGCCTTTTCCAGCACCGGATCTAACATAGGATCCATCTCATTCTCCACATTTTCGATGACCAAACACCTTGGGAGTTCTTTTTTCTAAATGGAATTCACCCACAACCATGTTTTTTGAACATTATTTTGACATTACAAACATTGGATGTTTATAAATTCAAACCAACTTCAAAAAGAATGGATTTTTGACGGATTTTGACCAACAAAAATGGGAGTGAAAAACCACGCGCTAAGGGCATTTTATGGATATACTGGGGCTCAGTGGGTTTTCACATGTTTTCACCAGCAAGATTTTGGTGAATAGAAGGATATCAGCAACTGTCTATCATCAACGGTCTGAACATAGGAAACTTCTCTCCAATAAACATGGCCATAAAATCATGGGTTGAATTGCTTTCTTAGCCATCAGCTGAAGGTTGGGCAGCCCCACGCCAGCATTATCAAAAAAATGTGTTTACTTAGGAAAAATGGGATATTAATGGGAGATCAACCCAAAATAACTATAGGATGTTCACATCCGCTGGGATACACACATTGAACATATGTGATATCATCTAAATCCACCTCCTAACCGACTGAAACACTGCAAATGAATCAAACACACACACTATATATATATATATCTCTATCATCATATCTATTATTTTATCATTATCTATATTAAAATATATTATATGTATATATATATATATATGTATATATATATATATATATGTATATATATATATTCGATGATATACAGCTTCAATAGCGACAATTGCATTTGCATTTTTTTGGCACATGAAATGGACGAAAAGTCGATTGCCGCAAACCAGGCAGCCAGGCAATCCGTGACTGATGGTGCACTCCAACTGATCCTGATGGCTTGGGCTTGGGGGGCTCTAAGCCAAAGATTGTAATTCTACTTATATACATAAATAAATAAATAAATATATATATAAATATTATTTTGATATTTGCTTGGATCTTTGATGATTGTATTGTTATTTGCTTGGATCTTTCATGAACAGTTTATCCTTCTACCCCCCAATCTGGTGATTTTCATCCGTGAAAAGACAGTCACGTTGAAAGTGGTGGCAAGTTCTTGCCCTCTAGGCTGTGACTTGATACATCTTGATGCCATTTTTGCATGACATGACATCAGACGAACTCATTGCTTGGGGTAACCCTTGATCCTCAACCAGGTTGACACTGCACAGAAAGCCCCACAACAACCTAAGAATCTGGTGGCTGCAAACTGCTACATATTACCCATATTACCCTCTGGTAATTTAACAGTTTGCTATTGAAAATAGCCATTTATAGTTGATTTACCCATTAAACATGGTGATTTTCCATAGTTATGTCAGTTTACCAGAGGGTAAGTTACTACATGAATCATCATGAATCTACATGAATCACATTGTTCCAGCCAGCGGCTACACCATTTCAAGCTGATAACTTTTTCAATTTCCCACCATGAAAGTCGACTCCTCCGAAGGGTCACCCATGTTGATGCCTTGGCCCCCCCCGATTTGTAACTTTCCGAGCGGAGCCGTTGTACGGCAAGCCGTGGTGTCCTTGAGGATGCGGTTTTGCAGCGTGGTCACCTCATTGAAAAATGTGCTGTCGGAAAATAAGTAACTTGCTCGCTGGGGGCAAAGATTTTGCGAAAATGTAGCTGGAATGAAAAATGTAGCTGGAATGAAATGGGTGTCCTCTACTTGTTGATGCTTCATCTTGGTGCTTGCATTGCCTATATCTATCTACATCCTGAATCTGATTGGATGGATATCTATATCTATATTTCCAAATCTGATCATATGGATTTTCCTCAACCCATATCCATTTTATGCAACAACTTCGATGATCTTCCAACGAATCGGACGAACTTTCGCATCGAAAAAATCCGGGGCTCTCTGAGATGCTGACGCACATGTTGGGTTCACGGGCAATCCGTTCATGCTCTTTGTTCTTGATCCAAGCCTCGAGTGAGCTCTTAGGAGTCACTTTTCCGAAGTACCCTCTGGTAAACATACAACTATTGAAAATTGCCATTTATAGTGAATTTTCCCATTAAAAATTGTGATTTTCCATAGTTACGTTAGTTTACCAGAGGGTAAAGTTTCAGCTTAGGAAGCTCAACATCCATGACAGCAGGCCAATGGCCATGCACGGCCTAGGAAGGCAACATGATTCCCCAAAAGGAGCTGGGATATCTATCCAGAAAACATGAATTGAATGGAATTTAGCTATGCCAAGCCTGAAAACATCTGTTTCCATCTTGATAAATTTATCACCAACATGTAGTGTCGAAGTGCAAACCATTATAATTTTCTTTGGGTGTCTAGCATACTTTCAACGATTTGCAGCCCTAGGAAACGGAGAATGAACCATCAAACATGTGGATATTCAATGGTCACCCCCTGGCACAAATGATGTCGGATTTTTTGCAAAGATTTTCGCCCGAAAATCAACACATCCTTTATTCACACACACACATAATATATATAACTATATAATTGTATATATAACTGAATAAATATATATATATATATTATTTACAATTATATATATAGTTATATATACACAAACGTATGTAAAATCTACATGTAAAAAACAACAATCACTCGCCAAGATTTTCGTTGAAAGGCAAGAAGTACAACAGATTGTTCCGTAGCATTTTCGTCGCCTTTTTACATGGACCCCATGATTTCCTGTAGGTCCTGGGTCGTCGAACCAGCGCTTGTCCTTGAGGGTCCACCATCAATGGATAGCGTGATGAGCGAGTCACCTCAGACGCCCCAAAATTCCATCGTCACCCTCTGGTAAACATACAAAAAACTATGGAAAATCACCATACTTAATGGGAAACCTCACTATAAATGGCCATTTTCAATAGCTATGTTAGTTTACTAGTTAGTTTACCAGAGGGTAATGATTTATGGGGACTAACCCATACTCAAATCATCTAAAATTCCCAACACATCCAAATCAGATGAGGGATTTTCAAAGATTCAAATACCAAAAAACTAAGTACCCATACTAAAATCCCAAAGGAAATAATTCATCCATATTAATCATCAAATCAGGAGGGATTTTCAATGATTCAGAATGATTTGGACATTGGTGGAATGTTCAAAATCAAAAAGTTACATAGTTTAAGACATGGGGTATGGTATGCGTCCAAACTAGAATCTTATCTTTTTTAGGTGGTGCCTTCCAGGAAACTAGAATATCCACAATGGGTTTATCATTTTCCTTGGGAAACCCTTGGCATTCCCCATCTATGTTAATTCTCCACGGGGCTTACACCGTATTTGCACTAAGCCTTCTCGGCTTACAAGTCGGAGGAAAACATGGACACGAAACCCAACCCAAAATGGGCCGGTCTCGATGGCCCATTTTAGAGCCCGAAATCTGTGGCTTGAAACACCGCTTGCAGCCACAGATAAGGCCCCCCGGCCATGATGGCGTTCTGAATGGACCTGGATATGCATCTGTTTTGGGTGTCACCGTTGAATGCTCATATCTAAACAGGACCATTTTTTGTTTTCAAGAACCAAACTGCAAATTGGTGGGCATCTATATCCATCATGAAATAAATACACATTTTTTAAAACATATATTTGGACCACAAAACCAATCTATCACAATCAACTAAATTTTGGGCATTGCTGAAGGTCTTCCACCTGCTCCAAAGATCATGTCAACTGGCCTGGCAATTTGAGCTGATTCTGAACCACCCTGGTTGAACTTGGAACAAAACACTTGGAGTCGTGAAAACTGGATGTAAGACAGTCATCATATCATCGTAATATCAGCCTTCAGATGCAGCTATCAGTAACTATCAGTAGCTATCAACATCAATGGCTGTCTCCAATATTTTTGGCATCCCAGGTGATTCATTTCCACATTTTCCCCATGAACAACGGCATTGGTCTAGGATGCCCCTGCAGCTCATCGCTAGGTAATCCATCCAAGGACCACCTCACAGTGATGATGGGGGATGATGGGGGTGAAAATGTGCCTACTCCGCCAAGCCAAGCAGAAACCAATGGTTGCAGGCCGGTTTCAAGGTACTCCAAGACAAGTAGTTTTTCCATCAAATGTTATCTGGTTGGTGGTTGACCTACCCCTCAGAAAAACTTTAGTCAATTGGAAGGATTCTATATATTATGGAAAATAAAATTCATGTTCCAAACCGCCAACCACTTATAACATGTTATTTTCTTGGGTGTCCCATTCAGGTTTTCATCTCGGCATTTTGACTCTGAGGAGTGCGCTCGCCCACAGTGCCCTCATCCACCAAGAATTCCACCATGTTGACGCCTGTAGAGAGGTGATCGTTTATGAAAACGCGTGTGATGATCGGGATGTAGTCATGATCGTGGGATGTTTAAAGCACAATTGAATAAACATAGAGATCAAACCAACCAAAGTGGGATATCTGGATGTAACTTCTGGGGTATCCTATCTTCAGCGCTCGTGCTATCACCCAGATTTATGAATGGTTGTGCATGGGCAGTACTCTTACTGAAACATCCAATAAAACAAGATGAAGCCCACGAACCCGAATGCTCACACGTATGTTGAAGATGATGGTGATAAAGTATCGATTATGATAGGACATGAAAATGTCAATGCTCACACCTATCGTAGAACAGTGGAACAACACCATTGCTCCGAATCTGTTTTCTCTCCGCGACAGCAGCACTGGCGTCGCAACGCAGTGGCGCGCGGCAAGCAGCGCCCAGTGGCGCGCGGCAAGCAGCGCCTTCCAAGACATGGCAGTCATGCGAGACGAACGTATCACACATGAAATGTCTTGTGTTGGGAATCACATGCGTCGATGCAACAAAATAAAATATATGGATCAACGAATCAGAAAGTATCGGAAACGTGTTGAAACATCCTGTAGTGGCACCAAGCACGCTCGATGCCTCCACGGCACTGGTGTTGCAAAGCTGCATCGCGACGCAGTCATCACCTGCCACAACACACGAGCCAGACGAGGCACAGTTGTAGCCGACAAATCATTTTATGAGTTAACGAAACAGCATCTTGACGAAGACACTTCAATAACGATTGTGTGGGACAACGAAACAACCCAAACAAAAAGGAAAATAAGAACGGCTCTTGTTGATCTGTGCAACAAAATCATATCATCTTCAGATTGCAAAAGGAACAGGGACTTCTTTCTACCATCGCCGACGGCTGTAACATGTCCTGGGAGCTGCTCAGCAACAGCGAGGACAGCGCCACCAGCTGTCGCTCTACAGACAACCAGACAGATTTTGGTCATGTCCAACTTCTCACCAAGACAACGGAGTCACCAACGCCAGCTGTCTTTCTGTACTATATCCATATGTATATATACACATATTAATGATTTCTAATCACATGAATGAAGACAACTTAATCAAACTCATACCAGCATGACCATACCGCAAAGCTCAAGTCGGCTGCGGACATCACCACCGGACCATCGGTGGAATACCCATTGCCTCCGCAGCGACGCCAGCTGGGGCGCTCCATAGGCAGCGCCGTGAAGAACAACCCGATGCAGCAAGTATCACCTTCCAAAGCGTGCGAGCCACGCGATGCATGCATATCAAACATGAACCATGGTTAATGCAGTCGCCATCCAGATTGCCAACAGATTGCTATAACAAATGTTGTTATCAACGACATCATACTTGCATGCTTGCAGTATTTTCACAAACATCCATACATGCGAGCATGAGCAGCAATTGAATCGCATCCGCCTGCACTGATATTCCAGAGCTATGTTGACTGCACAGTCCAAGCACCTTCTTGTTCGCTAGTGAATCATTTTCTAGCCATCAATTGCCATCATGAACCCACAGCGCGACATGTACGGCCATTCTGATCATACCAATAACAAAAAATATCCTTCGGTGAGATTTTGACCTGTCAACCCAACAAAGCGAAGCAACTGTTCTGCCACAGTATGCGCCGCAATGGCGCTGAAGCGAGCATGCTGCCGGTGCTCATGCAAGCACGCAGCTCCTGTTTCCCAGTGCCTGGAAGCAAGCAACAGCGTGAAACAAAAAGCCGCAGTCAAGTGGTGACGACAAGCAGTGCATTGAGACTCATCAAGTCACAGCGACAAGCAACGCGTCGACACTTTATTTTTATCTATCACACGTGCGAAACGGTCTATATTGTTCTCAGCTATGACACTAGCTTTCTACTCCTGTTGTCATCAACTATAGGTCACAACATCTGTGCTTGCAGCGACGCCCACGAACGACTGGATCACCGCGTCGAACTCTTTCTCCGCAGCTGCCAGCGCACGCAAGCGTGCTCTCCTGCCCCAGAAAGTAGGTAGCGGATACAAAGATGCACGCAAGAGCTTCCCCTCGTCCGCACCATCTTGCTGCGCTCTGAAAGCCTTCCTCCCCCGAACAGAGACCCTGCACCAAAACTCCGCCTCATATCGCCGAGTCAGGTCTTTCACGAGATATTTCACTTCACTGGGAGATTCGACGGAGAAGCTGTACTGCACACATTCTTCACCGGCGACCTCACAGCGTCCTTTCTTGATGCCATCCAGCCATGGCAATAATGGAATAGAACATTTTGGCGTAGCGGCTGCAGCTCCGGCTTCCCATGTGGACGATTCCGAGTCGGGGACATCGCCACCTGGCCTCGCAGCGGATGAAGGACGATGACCTGTTGTCATGCCTTCAGCGACTTGAGGTGCAAATTACAACTAGTCGCAGCCAGTTTCAAAGCGTTGCAACATGTCACTACCACCAACACAACATGGAGCGAACAAACGCTCAGCCATCCCAGCTCACCCTCTAAATCACAATGCACAACCAAGCTGTACTATATCCGCAGCAGCAGCATCATGCAGCATCCACAATCTGTTTCCGCGACACTAACAGTTCACATCAATTTATATGGTCATCAATTTTGAATATGCATCCGTGCATGTCACATGAACGGCAACATCGCCGCCAAACTTCTAACAGAATGGTATGCTGTACTTTACATGCAGCAATATCACAACAACCGCTGCCTCGGGGAAAGCAGCATCCTTCCCAGCGCCAAACAGTCTCTGCGATGCTCGCCACCTCCCGACCAGCACACACCGCGCGATCCACAGATGTCAAGCAACAGAAAAAAAATGCTTTCATGTCAAGATATGCAACACACCAACAAAGACAAAGACATCACAATCTGCAGCTGGCGAGTGTTGCTGCTACAGTATTGTCAACGAACACCATGATGCGCTGGCGATCGATGACACAACTTCCCGTGCCTCTGCAGTATATCACCACCACCAGCGCGTCCCAAAGGCACCACAGTGCAGCAAGCATCACCTTCCCAAACATGCAAGCACGGCAATGTGCAGATGTCAATGAAACAGGTTAACCGTCGCATTCCAACCATGTTAGATGTCGCATTTAAAAACACATCCAATCTGTTCTAACAACACATCGTGCACGTCCAACAATACAAAGCGGCGCCCACCTTGCAATGAAAATGGACACGGATGTTCCCAAGCTTGTCTGCCATGCGTGACTGAGTTGGTCCTACCCACCCTTTAACATCGGCTGCACTCAAATGGATGCGGACATGTCCGGGCTGTTGCAACGGATGTTAGCAAAATTCGATGATACTCACCTGGCCGCATGCATTGCACACTCTACGTTTGGTCTTATCCCGCCTCCACACGAGGCAGCAGTCGCCAAGTGTGACTTTCTCAATCAAAACACACAATCGATGCATTTCGATACTTTCCAACACTCAGGCAAAATCATATCGGACGGATGCACAAATCCCATTAGGTGCACGGAGCTTTACCGCTCAGATGCATTGGGATCGGATGCAGTCGAATGCCTTTTGGTCGGCTGCACTCAAATGGATGCGGACATGTCCGGGCTGTTGCAACGGATGTTAGCAAAATTAGATGATACTCACCTGGCCGCATGCATTGCAGACTCTACGTTTTGGTCTTACCCCGCCTCCACACGAGGCAGCAATCGCTAAGTGTGACTTTCTCAATCCAAACACAACATCGACGCATTTCAACACTTTCCAACTCACAGGCAAAATCATATCGGGCGGTTGCACAGAGCTTTGCTGCTCAGATGCTTTGGGATCGGATGCAATTGAATGGCTTGCGCTCGGCTGCACATAAATGAATGCGGAGTGCAACAGATGTTACCAAAATTCATAATTTGTATACAAATCCCGTCGGGTGCGCCGAGCCGTATTGCATGAGCTCTTTGCGGAGAAGAAACACTCTGGCATCTTGACCGGGAACACACCGGTCCCAAATCCACACTCCAGACAATCCAAGGAAGACGCACGGCAAGAGAATGCAGATGAAGAGCAGGAAAAACAGGACTCGGAGGAGTTTGGACCCATCCAGACCTTTGGCACAGCCAGTTTGTCAAAGCTTTATACCTCCAATGTGCCAGCGACTTTGTAAGTCCTTTCGAGCTTGGTATAACCATTCCAGTTTCGTTGCACCATGCACCAAAGCAACGTGCATTTGATTTGCCATGGAACCGAACTTTCTCACGCGGGGACATCGCCACCTGCCAGCTTACAGCAGCGTCACGTTTATCTGCATGCTGCCACTGCTTCCAAAAGAGTCGGCGGCAAGGCGTCCGGTGGGAAGTAGCAATGACACTCGCCGTCTTTTTCAAACAGCAGCACCTGGAAATGCATTTCGTCGATGTAATATAAGCACAACCACAGACAAGGCGTTTCCTTCACTCCAACAATAAGCATGCAGTACCTTACCCGCAGCGATGTTTTCAGTTGCCACTTGCGTGTTTGTCCACGTATTCCCAGCTATGATGAAAGACACATTCAACTCATCTGATAAAGCCGCGATATCCACATCTGTCGCCCAATGTCGATTGCCACATGTTTCCAGCTGCAAAGCAACTTCATGCTGCAACTTTGCCAATGCAGCGACACCTCCACGGATGCGTTTGCTGCGGGTGACAAGACTATCTCCTTCCTGAAAGCGAACTTGCAAAGCATCGTCGAGGACCTGGACATCCACGACAACATTGACAGTGGCCAAAAACTCGAAAGGGGACTTTCGAAGTAATGCAAGCATAGACCATTGGTCCATCCACGCGCCAGCTTTTTCTCGAGCTACACACCCGGCAACAAAATCAACAAAAGCCTTTCCAGACAACTTGCGGAAATGTCGACCAACAACTCCACGCAGAGCTTGTGCGACTGCTTTTCGATCTTTGGCAGCAAGACGAGGAGAAAGTCCAAGTGAATCCACCACAGCGGGCATTGAGTCGCGAGCGAAAATCAAAATGGCAGCAACGGACAGGAAGAAGCAATCACCACCACCGCCCGCATCTGCAGCAAAAGCACGCAAGTGGCAGCGGTTCCAGAAGAACAATTTGGTCGGATCGGCCACTTCCGGCACTTGCTCACATCCAAGACCAAGACAAAAATCCCGCCGCAGCTCTTTCCATTGCATGGGTTGAAATTTACGCTTCTTGCCGCAATGGCCTGCACTGCTGGCCGACAGCTGCACAGCCGACTCCCAAGCACCAGTGGCATACACAAACATACCATCTGCATTTTTCGCATCCGGTCGAGGCAAAGAAGTCGCCATTGGAAACGTCGAAAGCGATCTGCGTGCACTTTCGATCGTTTCCGTCGACGCCGCTGCCACTTCCTGGTTCAGGGTCACAAGATGCAAGTGTCACATGAAAACAACAATTATCCCCATTTTAACACCATCACAACCGCAATCATCAGAATCGCACAATCTCACACATATATCATTTCAAATACATCAGAACGACATCCTGGATATGAGTCATGAATCAAAAAACAGACAGTTCGCAGATGACCACAACATCGAAGACTAGAATCAAAATCAGCAAGTCGGACACTTTCAGATCGGCCGGGGCCAGCGCCACCTGACCTCCATCGGGGGCAACGCCACCTGGGGAGCATTTTCATGGATTTCCCCGCCTCGAGACGATCCAGAAAATCGGCGATGTATTGTGGCGGTCCATTTTCGAAGAAAGACCAGTCCACATCGCCGTTTTCCAATGTCGGGAAGTTCCGGAAAAGCGAATACTGCAGCGATTGAGCGCGCCCAAGAATCATGTAGAGATGTTGGATGTACACATCGCGGCCGAAATACGATGGCCGAGTGCAATCGATGGTATGTCCTTGTCCTCGGACCGTCTTGCCTTGACTATTGTTGAAAGTGCCGGCTGCAGATGGAGCTAACGGGAATTGGATCCGCGTTACATCCAGCTGCAGCTCGCCACGCCGTCGAAGACTGATGCTAAAGTTGTCTTCCGACGGTTCCAACAAGTACACGCCCGGTAGTGCTCGTCCGGTGTAATCGTCACAGCGATCCTGTCCAGTCAACGTGCTCATGTGTGCACAACACAATCAACACTATGCACTCCACACTCCACCCCCAAAAACTACCACAATCTCACACGTCAAGGACATCACCACCTGACTGCCATGAAATGAAAAGTTGCCATTTACTTTACACTCTACACAGCACCATTTGATTCCACAAGCTCTGCAAACACAAAGATGAAAGCATGCATGACGTTCTTGACTCCTTCTACATGCTAGCTTGAACTTATCTAACTCTGCAGAACAATTATACCGATACTATTAATGCCACACGACCCGCCTCCACTCGGACGGCAATTGCCGCGGGCAAATAGTCCAGACGGACATATCCAGTTGTCCAGCAAGAATGTCCAGGATCGGGGACTTGCTGTCCAGGAGCATGACCAGGACTGCCAAAGCGTTCATTAGGATGCATCTGAATGCCAATCACTTCGCACGGGCACTCTTGCACGATCTCAGGCGGTAACAATTTTTTGGTAATTTTAACTTTAAGACCCACATGCAGAGGCAAAAAGGAAATCAGGTTGCCCGTCTTACTGGCCATGTTGGTCACATTTAAAATGTCACGAAGAATGCTGGCATCATTCCCAAACTCACGTTGATGAATCAAATCCACCGCCTGCACATAATACAACAACTGTCCCTGGAAATGCAGAAATGGCACCATCCTCGAGGCTACGGCTTGCATACACTTGCCGTACTGGGCATTGAAGGAACGCGACAAATACATGGGAAAGCCACGAGATATGATTCTAGGCTTTCCCTTGCTGGTATTGTGATCAGCCAAACGGCCGAAACTGGCACGTGCAGACTCATAGGCACAGACCTGTTGAAGTCGAGCAACTTGGTCCCAATTCACAGCACTGAAGACACCACGAGCAAAAAAAACCCTTGGGACCGACTTGCAATCCCTTGTCGTCGTACATGCAGTAATCCGATGCCAAGCGAGCATCCCCAGCCAGAGGACGATAAATCTGCCGTGACATTGCATCTTTCAAGGCCTGGGACAGCGCCACACCGCCAACTTGACGCATCTTCTCCAACAAGGTAGCCAATGGATCGCCTTTTTTGAAACGATGAGATCCCCGGAAAAGGACGGTTTGCTTCATAAATTTCCGAAACACATTGTATCCGTGCTCATCAAGCTCTTGCTTTTTTGCCGCTGCACTGGATCCATCTTCTCATACAGTGGGACTCCGGGAACATCGATTCCAAATGCTCCCATGAGAGAATGATTCCTGACCGGATTGAGCTGCAAAAAATCTCCTGCCAAGATCTGACAAAGAATATCTCCAAAGACGTGATCCAAGAATTGTCCGGGATCTACATCACATCGCCCACAACAAGCCGATGCGTGCAGAACGGCAAGCAAATTTGGTGGTGTCAAGGAAATCTCGTCGATGAAGAGCAAGGCGACGCGGCGCCATTTCTTGCGCAACGCCTCTCGGCGATCGCGCGTCGGCTTCTTCAGGAGGAGGTCCTGCTTCCGGCCAAGACCGGCCATGTGATGGAAGGTAGATCCTCCGATGAGCCGAGCCGCAGAATTCTGCGCTGCCACCCCTTTCAACATACCAGGCAGATATTCTTCGTATACCGGCAGAATCACTTCGTTCAACATAAACGTCTTGCCGCTCCCGCCCGGGCCATGGACAAAGATGCGACTGACCATATCCTGCCACAGCTTTACATCACGTGTGAGCATAAACCATGATTTCAGCTAACACTGTCCTAACAGCTCAAACAAAACAAGAAAAATGCAAAGAGT